AGGAGGATCAAGCCGTTCGTAGTTCGTTGGAATGAGCAGAAGTGGCCGGAAGGTGCATCTACTCGGGGGTTTGGTGAGTGGAAGTGGCTGGGAAGCGCATCTACTAGGTTTTTTTTTTTTTTTTTTTTTTTTTTTGGAAGCGCATCTACTCGGTATTATAGCGGCGGAGATGCATGGAGTTCCACGCCCGAGGCACTGCTTCCCCTTTAGAAGTTTCCAATCGGTAAACGCCGGGTTTAATTACCTGGGTGATCTTGTAAGGACCTTCCCAGTTAGCTCCCAGTTTGCCGGCATTTAGCTCCTTGGTATTCTCGAAGACTTTACGTAGAACGAGATCGCCCAAAGCGAGAGGTCGGGAGCGGACTTTCTTGTTGTAGTAGCTCTCGATCTGTTGCTGGTAATTTTGTATACGCAGTAAGGCCTGGTCGCGTCGTTCTTCGATCGTGTCTAGGGCGCCCAGTAACATTGTTTGGTTGAGATCGTCTGCCTGGGGCATTTTGCTGCGACGTAGGCTGGCAACATTGACTTCGGCAGGTGCCATTTCTTCGACTCCGTAAGCCAACGAAAATGGAGTTGCTTTTGTTGCGCCCCGAGGGGTAGTACGGTGCGACCATAGTACTCCATCCAGCTCGTCAGCCCAGCAACCCTTTTTAAGGTCGAGTCGTTTCTTGATGTCGTCAATGATGGCTTTGTTGGAGGATTCGGCTTGACCGTTACTCTGCGGGTACCGGGGAGTCGAAGTGTTGAGGCGGATTCGCCATTTGTCGCAGAATTCGCGGAAATGTTGGGAGATGAATTGAGAACCGTTGTCCATCACTATTTTGTAGGGTAGACCGTGTCGGCAGATGATGTTTCGCCAAACGAATTTCTGGACTTCCTTATCGGTAATCCTGGTGTAGGCCTCGGCTTCGATCCATTTGGTGAAGTAATCGGTGAGGACAAGGATGAAGCGTCTCTGTCGCGAACTCGGCATTGGGCCGATTATATCCATTCCCCAACGCATAAACGGATAAGGGGCAGTCATGGTGCAGAGCATTTCAGTCGGGGAGTGGATCATCGGCGCATGTCGTTGGCACTTGTCGCAACGTGAGGCGTAAGATATGCAGTCGGCTGTCATCGACGGCCAGTAGAAACCGAGGTTTTTGATCTTGATTGCGAGTGCTCGGCCCCCGGAGTGATTCCCTGCTGCGCCTTCGTGTGTCTCGGCCATGACTAGGCGCGTTTCCTCACCATGGATGCATCGAAGCAGAACTCTGTTCGCGGTGACTCGGTGCAGATTATTGTCAATCAGCACGTAGCATGTACTCTTTGCTTTGAGTCGTCGTGCTTTCCATTTGTCGAGGGGCAGCGTGCCGTCTCGAAGGAAGTCGTGTAGCTCGGTTCGCCAGTCAGGAACCGGGTCACTTGTTTCGTTCGCGGGGGGAGGCTCTGAAAGCGTCGAGTCATCGTCATGCGAGTCTTCGGTGGGAAGGTCCTCCCTGGCGCGTGCGGAGGCTCGTGTGCGTACGGCCGCTACTGTACAACCGACGGCTGGGTCTATGCTTGGTTCTTCGAGTCTATGGATGGGTATCGTACGCTTTACTTGGTCTCGTATCTTGCTTCCTAAGGCAGCTAGAGCGTCAGCGCAAACGTTTTCGCCTCGCGGGACTTTGGTGAGTTCAAAGAATTCAAATTCCCGAGAGAGGTTTTTGACTAGCTGAAGATACGCGTCCATGCGTTCATTCCGAGTGTCGTACTCACCGCTGAATTGACTCGTCACTAGCTGAGAGTCGGAATAGGCACTGAGTCGTTTCGCGTTGACTGCTTTCGCCAATCGAAGGCCTGCGATCAAAGATTCGTACTCAGCCTCATTGTTCGAGGCCGGGAAGCCAAAACTGAAGGATTGCCGAATCAGCTGGCCTGTTGGGGATTGGAGCTGCACGCTGGCTCCGGATCCTTGGTTGGTTGCTGATCCATCAACGTGGAGTATCCAGTTTCCTTTGGGTAACGCGAGTTCCTGAATGAGTTCTTCTTCGAGATTTTTCGGTAGCTCGATAATAAAATCTGCTAACACTTGAGATTTGGCAGCGGGACGTCCTTTGAATACAACGTCGTGCTCGCTTAACTCGATCGCCCATTTGGACAATCGGCCCGACTGATTGGTGTTTTGCATGACTGTCCACAGTGGATAGTTTGTTAGGACTTCGACCGTGTGAGATTGGAAATATGGTCGGAGTTTGCATGCGGACGTGATGACTGCGAGGGCCATTTTCTCAAGAGTTGGATAACGCGTCTCGGGTTCGGTCATACGCTTACTGGTATAGAATATCGGCTTTTGTTCTCCGCGATCGTCCTTGATTAGGACACTACTGACTGCGGTTGCGGATACTGCGATATAGAGGGAGAGGATATCACCGGACTCGGGTTTCGAGAGTACCGGAGGCGTGGTGAGGTACTGTTTCAGCTGTGCGAACGCCGCTTCGCAGTTCTCGTCCCAGATGAAACGCTTGTTCCCTCGAAGGAGTTCGTAGAACGGAAGGCATTTATCTGTTGATCGGGATATGAACCTATTTAAGGCTGCAATACGGCCGGTTAGACGTTGGACTTCGCGGCTGTTTCTCGGGCTGGGAAGGTCGAGAATTGCCGAGATCTGCTTTGGGTTGGCCTCGATTCCTCTTTGTGTCACGATGTACCCGAGGAATTCGCCAGAGGTAACCCCGAATGTGCACTTTGCCGGGTTTAATTTCATGCCGTATTCGTTTAACGTGCGGAAACATGCCGCGAGGTGCTCCGGGTGGTCGACGGCGCGGGACGATTTCACCAGCATGTCGTCAACTGTTTGTACCGAGTTCGGTCGTGTATCAGTAAAATGAGTGACGGGACTTGTCGGTGGGTTATTACAAAGGTGTGAATCTAAATGAACCGAGTGAACAGGAGGTTTTATTTATAAACGGAGAGAGTACAGAGAGAATCCCGGCGTTCAGAGGCCGTGCCGAGATTCGGTTTGAGTTGATTAAGACAACGAAATAAATCTAGCTATTTGCTCTAGTCTATGCCGCCGTCTCAGTGTCAAGTTTCGGATCCTTCTCTTGTGTTCCCTCCCTCTCCTTTTATAGCTCGAACTCTTCGGTCTTAACCTAAGTCGTTTTCGGCTCATGGGCCTCCGGTATTGGGCCTGTTGTCGGCTCAACAGTGTCTTTTCCTACTTATACGGACGCCATTCGGGTTTGAATGTTTACCCTTGCCGGGCCGACTGTGATATCTCGTGGGCCTTGAGGGGCGGGTATGGCCCACCTCCTACACGTGCTATCTTTGATATTGTGTTGATGGATATTATTGTTTCCTCTATCAATCGTTTGTTCGAGAAACATGTTCTAGTCAGGATTTTTAACCTTAGGACTTCTACTTCCATGAGAAATCTCAACCCCTCTGATTAGTTTTTTTTTTTTTAATGGTTTCTCTAGTGGCTGGATTCTTGATTTAATGTTTTTGCTTGATTAGATATTGAGAAGATGATCTCTTTAAAGAGGATATGATTATTCGGAGTAGCTCTATTATTCCTGAAATTAGGGAAGCTGTGTTTAGATGCCTTGTTTGTGGGTATTTCTCTGACCCCATCATCGTTGATAGAGGTAAGTAATTTGATTCACTTGGGTTTATTATTATTTTTTCTTATGTGTCTGTATAGTTTTGTTCTCTCACAATGCTTGTTTTTACTTCTTAGGTAAAATAAGTGAGCCTCCTACTTGCTTGAAACAAGAATGTCTTGCCAAGAACTCTATGGCATTAGTGCACAACCGATGCAGGTCTGTTCTGGACTTCAGATTTTTTGTTTGATTCATGTAACTAATGCCTTTTCATTCAGGGATCAGGTTTGCGGATAAGCAGATTGTGAGGCTTCAGGAAACACCTGATGAGACTCCTGAAGGATGAACACCTCACACAGTTAGCTTGTTGCTGCATGATAAGTTACTCGGTAATGGAAAGCTTGGTGATCGAATTAAGGTAAAACCATGAACTTTTTATCAGATTACTATGGTTTTAGTTGATAACCAAAGCTTGTTTTCCGGATAGGTCACTGGAATTTACTCAGCTCTGCGTCACTTTTTGACTTATGTGTCTTGGTGTTTCTGGTTCCAACCCCTTCCTGAAATCAAAGGTACTGTCTTTGAACCGTATGAACAAAGGGGATTACCTTAGCTGATAAAAAATGGCATTGATGTTGCAGTCTTTTGTCATCGAGTTTAAAGTAATTGCTATAAGATATTTTGTGTTTGAGTTTTATGTTCTTAAACAAGAGCTATATATTTAGTAATTGATGACGCCGAGTTCTAACCTTTCTAGTTCTCTGATAATCACATTTGACTGAGTCAAGAGGACCTGTAAGAAATATTGTTTGAGAGCCTGCCTATTTGTTTGAATTTTCTAATATAATGTGTTTGGTTATCCATTTGAAATGATGCAGTTGCTATATATATATATATATATATATATATATATATATTTCGTGTTTGAGTTTTATATTTTCATTTTTCTGATGCAGGGGAGGAGTGGAAGAATCACGGACGGCAGCGAAGTTTTGTATGGTTTTGTGTGTCACTTGTGTCTCAGTCACGGACTGAAGCGAAGTTTTGTATGGTTTTGTGTGTCACTTGTGTCTCAGTCCCGGACTCAAACCCTTGTATTCTTCTGTGTGACGAGACTTTTGTAAAGCTGTGTATTCTTTCTTGTCTGTCGTTTGTTGTATTTTTGTGTTGTCACGAGAGCTTTGTAAAGTGATTAGAGTTTTGGTAAAAGGCTTTGTATATTTAAACTTGTATGAACCCAAGTCATACTGACAAAAGCCTTTAAATCTGATAGAAGACCCGTCCAGTGATGGTTCGTTATATATGGTTCTCACACGCAAGCAAGCAAGCAAATGTTATTACCAACATATGCCTTCATTCCACAAACTTCAAAACATGTTCATTTGGTTTCATGATAAATCTCTTTCTAGTTTGCAAACACTTGAAAATATTTAATCAATAATCACTTGGAACAGCTAAACAATGCTGAACATTAAACCAAAGTGGGACCGTAGCCACAACACCAGACCAAACGATCGTCCCACAAATCTTGTCACCAGCTCTATCCAGTGAGACCAATATACACTGGACATTCTTCGTAGCCGCCATAATATCATCTTCATTTACACCCCACAATCCGTGAGTTGGGATAATGTAGTTAAAAACCACAAGCCTTCCGTCATATTCCGACATCCCCTTCACACGTGAGATAACCAGTTGCTTCCCATCACGAACCAACAATCTTCTCCACACATTGAGCTTTGTATCAAACCACATCAACCCTTTCCCTGTAAAGAAACCAAAGAGAACATCCTCCACCACACACACGCTATGCGCCATTTCAGTGAACTTCTTCTTTCTTCCAGTACCTTCCGAGATCATCTCGCTTACAAACCGAACCATCCGTGGTTCTCCTTCACCTTTTCTCGGGTTGTACACGTTGGTCTCCTCGTACTCCACCATATAAACCTTCCTTTCCACCGAGACACTGCTCCGTGAAATCTTGCGCACCTTCTCCACCCCCGCAAGCTCCCAAGTCTCCGAGTTAGGATCGAAAACTTCAACTTGGATCTCTTCGTTGAACCCTCTGCCTCCCATCACGTGTATCTTCCCGTCGATTACACCAACAGCTGCTCTGCGAGCTACTCGAGGCACAGTCATGCTTGGTCCTTGAGTGATGGTCCCAGATCGTGTATCAAGGATCCATAGATCCGTGGAAGGTTCTCCTCTAGGTCCACCAATGAAGAAGATCTTTGAAGAACCCAGTACTGCAACGGTTGAAGAACCGTAACTAGGATGAGAAGGGATGGGAGTCGGGTTCAGAACAAAACCATACTCCGTTTTGTTGAGTGTAAACCAATGGAAGAATGAGTGGTCGAAGTCCAAATTTTCTTCCAAACATACGTTGAGGCAGCTGTTGGGAAGGGTGGATCGCAAGACGGTGAGCTCAGGCGAGCGAACAAGGGTTCTTAAGTGTTTTGAGACCCATGAGACGTTTAGGTGATAGATCCTTGGGACGCCCACCAAGCATCTCAGAACAATATCGTCAGGCAATGAAGAAAGAGACAGCTGCGGAGTGTGTTTTTCCGGTGGCTCGTTGGCGTTGGACTTGGACATTGTTTCAACAGGAGAGTGACTGAAAACGTTCGGTCTTTGCATTAAGATAATGATGATGAAATCGAAAAAAGCTGACAATTTATATAGTTTTATTTCTTTACTTTTTTGGGTTTACGTCAATCAACAACAGCTCTGTTCGTCTGGTCGCCGCAACTTTCTGCGGCTGAATCTGAGATAAACTTCACAAGCTTGGATACAGTATCTGCATTTTCCACAACCTGAGTCATATATTCAGCAGTTAAGTAAAAGCACATGTACTAAACATAATAACAGAGATCAAAATGATGACTTCGACAGAACATCCATAATAGAATCAAAACCAACCCAAATCAACACAGAAAATGAACAAAAGACATATGCTTAATCTAGAGAATAAGCTTAATTGTACACAGACAAGAAAAATCCTATCAGTGTATCATCACAAGAAGTATTCATGACACAAAAGATTACATCAGAAGAAACCTATTCTCTTGAATCCCATTAGAACAAACCCATTCTCTAGGACCCCCCATCAGATCCAAAACTCATTTCAAAAACCCATGACACAAAAACAGCTTCTTCTTGTCTTAATGCTTGAAACCCAAATCGGAGGAGATGAGAGAACTCGTGGTCAGCTTCAGAGATGAGAGCTGCAGGTAGCTGCGTTAACGAAACGAACAGCACTAACAAGATTTCAGAAAAAGTCTGTATTGAGTTTTGTCTGTACAAATTGATCCGTTTGTGGCTTTAACAAGAAATTGATTTCGGTTTTATTTTAGATGTAACTTCTCAATGCTGATTTTGCGGGGTGTGTATTTAATGTAATAGATTTTGTAATCAGAGGATTCAATTCCAGTTCCATGATGCGGCAAAAAAACTTCTAGACTAATAAAGATTACTACATAATAATCCATGCCTGAGACTATTAATTTCGCTATTTATGAAGATAAAGAAGATATTAAATGTTAAGCCTGGACATTAGTTTGGGTTTAGACAGTTTTTTATTTATTAATCTCCTAAAATATAACTACCATTCTAAATTTATATTTATTTTGATTTGTTCAGTTAAAATGTTTGATATCTTTTATATTTTTGGTGATAACCAAAAAACTATTATTATTTGTTTAGTTTCGTGTTATATAAATTTTAGACACTCTTGATATTGAACTAATGGTTTCCTAATATAATTTCTAAAGACATGCAAAATCAAATAAAACCTATATAATAGCTGAAGAAAAAAAACCATTAACACAAATCATTTCACTATAATTTGATCGATGGTGAAAGGAAGCATTAAAAAAATATTTTAACTTTCAAGAGAATTAGATTTCACTTGTGGTGAATATTTTGCTATACAATTGCTCACATCAATCTGTACATGTATGTGTATGCAAAAAAATATAAATATGGTGATAAATATATGAAGCTATTGTTAATTGACATTAAAAATATATTTTTTTAAAAATAACACATGATAGTAAATTCTTTTAAAAAATTAAATAAAAATAAAACAGACCTAGAAATTAGTAAAAAGATTCATATACAGAACATCAACTTGTATTCGTAAATAGTAAAAATAATATATATATATATATATATATATATATATATATATATATATATATATATATATATATTACAACATGATCTCTTTGCTCGGTATAAATTCTGTTTTTAATCGTTCTCATGAATTTTCTTTCTTTTTAAAACTTTTCTAATTTCTGATTTTTTCCTAGCAATTTAATTTTATTTATAATTCTTGTTATGATATGAATACTTTGTAAAAAATAATATTTGGTTAAATTAAAGATCTGACCTTGTGTGTGATATTTTTCACCTTAGTTTTCTTAATTATAGACAATTACTTTTTGTCTCCGTGTACAAAACCCTCAATCATTGCCAACTGCGGCAAGGTACAAAACTTTCAATTTCTATAAACATTCTTATCCAAACATTTTAGTTGATGCGAATCATAATAATCTTTTTTCTTTCAATAATGATATTATGCATTAGTTGCACGAAGATAATTTCAATTCACTAATACAAAAAAAAAATTCAGAAAAAATTTAGTGTATGAACACATTAAATTATGAGTTGAAAAAATTAGTGTGTGAATGCATTAATTATTAAACGATTGTGAGACTGACACGTCAACGTTCTGAAGTTGAAATGTTTGTAAAACTTACACGTGTTAATTCCTGTGTGAACACATTTAATGCAAAATTATTCTCCTTTAATATATAGGGGATGTTTTTCTTCATGTGTGTAGTCATCAATTATGTAAAGATCAGTATGCAATATCTTTCTATCAACTTGAATAATGGAAACGTCTTCTGGGAAACGTCTCTTTCTCTTCTCTAAATTGGGAGCCAATTCTTTTGGTTTCGTAATGTAACTGATGTGGGTCTTTTATTTAGGCTGGACTCGATAACTACTTAATCTTATGCTTGTAACCTTTTTTTCTTTAGCGAAAAATTAGTTCAGAAAAAAAAAACTTGAATAATGGAAAAGTCATCTTTTGCTACTGGGTGAAATTTCAATAGCATTTTAATTTGAATGATTCCACAAAGTGAGTAGATGGTCGTCCTCTCAGTTGTAATACTTTTTTAGTTGATAATCTATAAGTTGAACCAAAAATAAGTTAATAATCTATGAGATTTGTACATAAGATAACATGTCTTTTGTGTTTTAAACCTCCTTTATTGTCACCATCACCCATAATCCTATTAGTGTTCATCTTTCGTATATGTAGGGTGAACTCACTTTTGTATAAATACATTTTTCCAACAGAGTAACATAAAATAAGTTCAATAAGATTCAATATGATTCCAAATTCATCACAATTTAAAGGGATCACTGGATGAAATTTTTGATCAATATTTTGATCACATTTCGATCAAACATTTTAGAATTTGTGCAATTTTTATGGTGATCAAGAAGATGAAAGGAAGACGAGGAAAAAAAGAGTCTTCATTGAAAGAAATCGTGAAAAAGACCATCTCCGGTTATGGAATGATTATTTCAGTGACGATCCAACATATCCAGAAAATTTAATTAGGCGACGATTTAAAATCAAAAAGCCATTGTTCATGCATATTGTTGATCGCCTCTCCAATGAAGTTAAATTCTTTCGTAAAAAAAAAAGACGGTCTCGGAAGGCTTGGTCTCTCGACACTTCAAAAGTGTACCGCAGCTATTCGTGTGTTGGCATATGCTATGTTGCATGGAAACTCCGTTCAAGGTCCGTTTCCTGTTTCGGAAACGTTTGGAATCGGAATCTCTTGGAAACTTGAGGAAACTCTTTGGAAACACGTTTCTTGAAAATTTCATTTTGGAATCACGATGGAAACTTGCGTTTCTGATTTGCAAACTCGCGATTCTAATTCGGAAACTCGCGATTCTAATTCGGAAACTCGCGATTCTAATTAAAAACGCAAAAATAATTATTTGGCATTTGATGTTAGTGATTTTACATGTTTATTATCATATATTTTGATATTATCTTTGATATTTATTATCATTTTAGTATAATGATTTGATTTGGAACAAAATCGCTCCATAGTTTTATCGAACGATAACATGTGTTACTTTTCTAGTTATTGATTATAATTTTAATAAAATGTACCAAAAATACCTATATTACTTATTTTTTTTAGATAAATCAAACAAACAAATTAAGTTTACATGTTGATTAATCATACATATATATATATATATTATATTAGACGTTTCTAAAACATTTTCGTTTCTAATTTTTTTGAAATCACGTTTTCACGTTTCGAAACGTTTCATTTCCACGTATCCGTTTCTGATTCCATGCAACCTAGGGCATATGGTTCGGATGCGGTCGACGAATACCTCAGGCTCGATGCAACCACTACTCGGTTATGTGTGGAAAATGTTGTGGAAGCAATAATAATTTTGTTCGGTGATGAGTACCTAAGAATACCGACACCGGATGATCTTGAACGTCTTCTTCATATTGGAGAACTTCGTGGATTTCCCGGGATGATAGGAAGCATCGATTGTATGCATTGAGAGTGGAAGAATTGTCCCACCGCATGGAAGGGCAATATTCTCGTGATTCGGGAAAATCCACAATCGTTTTAGAAGCGGTTGCTTCATATGATCTCTGGATATGACATGCATTTTTTGGACCTCTAGGTACCTTAAATGATATTGATGTTCTTGATCGCTCACTTGTTTTTGATGACATAATAAACGGTCATGCTCCACAAGTGAATTTCTAGGTGAACGAAAGAGAGTATCATTTGGCTTACTATCTCACCAGTGGTATTTATCCAAAATGGGCAACTTTTATCCAATCTATTTGAATTCCACAAGAGCCGAAAGCAGTTTTATTTGCGCAACATCAAGAAACTGCCCGAAAAGATGTCGAACGTGCTTTCGGAGTTTTGCAAGCTCGATTTACCATTGTTAAAAATCCTGCACTTTCTTGGGATAAAGTCAAGATTGGGAAGATTATGAGAGCATGTATCATACTCCATAATATGATAGTTGAAAACGAACGAGATGAATAAACTCATTTTGATGTTTTGGATTTCCAACAAGGAGAAGGCAACGGAAGTTCACATGTCGATCTCACCTATTTTACAAATATCCCTACAAGTAGCGGCAATAGATGGGTGTTCGAACTAGAATTCATGATAGACAAGTGCATCAACAACTGAAAGGTGATTTGGTTGAACATATATGACGTAAATTTGGACGTGAACAAGACAACAACTGAACTTCGATGTCTCTTTGAAATTATTATCGTTTATTTTAGTAATATTTTTTTTTATGTTTTTATTTTAAAATGTATGTTTAAAATGTTATGTTTAACTTTGGTTTTTATGTAAAATAAATTTTATCTTCAATTAAATTATGTTTAATAGTTTTTTTTATTTGAAGAACCTCTAATTAAAAAACTACCAATAAATCACTAAAATTAAGAGTTTCTTAACAAAATTTCTTAACTTCACTTTAATACTAAAAAATTCACTAAGAACCCTTAAGTGGGTTCCCCCAATAAACATGTTCTAAGGTATGCCATCTTATCTTTTTTTTTCTGTAATAACTACATCAATTGCTTTTATCTTATCTATATCACAGACTTACATCAATTGCCTTCACATAAACAAAGCAAGTAAGACAAGAATGACTGCTGAGGATCCTATGGATATTGACAACAGTGTGCGTAGAGTTGATGAAGATGTCAAGTTAGATGAGGAGAAGGTTCTTAACTTTTAATTAACTAAATCTACTGTTTGTAACTTGTCCTTTGTCCCTCTTATATCATCTCCAACCCAACTGCAAAACTCTATTTTAGTATGATTTTTACACTAAAACCCCTCCAACCCAAATGCAAAAATCACACTATTTTAGTGCAATACTAAAACACTATTCATTTTTTTAATAAAGTATATAGTTAAATAAATAACAAATAAGAAAATAAATAAATATAATATTATAAAAATATTTTAGTGCAAAATATAGTATCATGGTTGGAGAAGAATTTTTTTTTTGTGTGTTG